AGACATGCTGTGTTCTTGGGTTGGAAGACAACCTTGGCACAATGTCAATACCACTTAAGGGATATACAGATACAATGCAATCTCTATCAAAATTCCAATGGCCTGTTTTGTAGCAATGCAAAAGCCAATTCTCAAATTCACATAGAATTCCAAGTGGCCCCAGATGGCCAAAACGGTGTTGAAAAAGAACGAAGTTGGGGGAACCAGATTTCCTAATTTCAAAACTTATTATAAAACTACAGTAATCAAAACAGCATGACCCTGGAGTAAGAGTAAACATACAGATCAATGGAAGGGAATTTAAAGCCCAGAAGCAAGCCCTTACATTTACGATCAGGTGATTTTGACAAGGGTGCCAAGGCAATTCACCAGGGAATGAAAAGTCTTTTTACGAAATGGTGCTGGGACGACTGGATGTCCACATGCAAAAGAAAGAGGCTGGACCCCTAGCTCACACCAGACACAAAAACTAACTCAAAATTCATCAGAGAGAGAACCGTAAGAGCCAAAACTCTAAAACTTTGTTTTAATTAATTTTCTATAAATTTTTATTTTTTTAAATTCCAGTATGATTAACATACAATGCTGTATTAGTTTCAAGTGTCCAATATAGTGAACTTTCCAAAAGAAAACACAGGTGTAATTCTTTGTGGCCCTGGGTTAGGCTAAGAGTTCCTAGATACAACATCAAAAGCACGATCTATAAAAGAAGTAATTGATAAAGTCTCTGACAAGGGCTTTGCTTCCAGAATATACAAGGAACTCTTACAACTCCATAATAAGACAAAAAAACAAAAACAAAAACAAAAACAATTAAGAATGAGCCAAAGATTCTAATAAACAGTTCATCGAAGAAGACTATGAGTGGCTAATAAGCACAAGGGAAGATGCTCAACATCATTCGTCACCAGGGAAACACAAAACTACAACGAGACTGCACCTCATGCTCACTTGAGCGGAGGTGAAAAGGACAATACCAAGTACTGGTGAGGATGTGAAGAAACTAGACCTTTGTTGCTGGTGGAAATGTAAAAATGCCATAGCCACTTTTGGTATCATCTTGGTAGTTTCTTTGAAAGTTAAACATTTATTTACCCGATCATCCAGCAAGTCTACTCCTAGGTATTTTACCCAAGAGGAATGAAGCCATATTTCCACACAAAGATCTGTACCTGAATGTTTATAACATTATTCATAATAACCAAAAAGTGGAAACAATCCAAGTGCCCATCAAATTTTTTATGGCTCACTAGTATTCTATCATCCGGGTATTCCACATTCCATCTGGTAAACGTGTTGTGTAGTTATTCAGAGAAACAGAATGTGGAATACCCATTCGATATGATAACTACTCGGCAATACAAAAGAACTACCGATACATGCTACATCATGGATGAACCTCAAAAACATCAGACTAAGTGAAAGAAATTACACACAAAAGACCATATTATATGAAAAATTGTGGAGAGATACATCTATAAGACGAAGCAGACTGGTGGTTGCTTGGGGCTGAGGGTGGCAACAGGGACTATCTACAAATAGGTGTTTTTGTGATGAAAACGCTCTCACACTGGCCTGTGGCAAGGGCAGCACAACTCTTATTAAAAATCACTGAATCCTGTGCACACAGGTGAACTTCATGGTATGTAAAGTAGGCCGAAATAAAGCGTTAAAAAAAAAAAAAAACTTGGAACATGAGAACAAGAGCATCTTCTGAAAAAGAACTGGGTACAAAAAATGATACTATGTTTCCAAAGAGCAGAAGAGACCAGAATGGCCTGAAGCCTAGAAACTGGTTTCCCATCCTTCACATCACTACAAAACAAACGCTTCTAGAAATAGAAGCAAGCATGCTTATCTGTGATGGTTGATTCTATGTGTCACCTTGACTGGCCATGGGGTATCCAGATTAAACATTAGTTCTGGGTGTGCTTTAAGGGTGTTTCTGGGTGAGATCTGAATTTGAGTCAGTGGACTCAGTCAAGTAGATTGCCCTTCCCACTGTGGGTGGGCATCACCCAACCCACTGAGGCCTGAACAGAACAAAAGGCAGAAAAAAGAGGAATTTACCCTTTTTGCCCCCTTGCTGCTTGAGCTGGGACAGTCATCTGCTCTGATTTGGGGACTGGGATTTACCCCCTTGGTTCCCTTAATTCTCAGGCCTCGAGACTTAGGTCTTAATTACACCACCAGCTTTCCTGGGTCTCCAATTTGCAGATGGCAAATAGTGGGACTTCTCAGCCCCCAAAATCACCAGAGGTGATTCCCCATAGTAAGTATCTCCTTTTCCCTCTCCATTATCTCCTACTGGTTCTGTTTGACTGGAGAGCCCTAAAACACCAGCCATTTACCAAATGAAGCCAAGTTCAACACACCAATAGGGACAATTCTAGAAATATAAAAGGATTCCCTGAAGGCAGAGATCTCAAAGCACCTTGGTTTCCACCTCTTCATAAATCACTTCAAGCATTCAGCAACATGTTCAGTGTGGGGAATTTCATCCATACACCTGATTCCCAGGACTTTGTAATTCACCACCTAGGACTACGCTGTACCTTTTTTTTTTTTTTAAGCTGTCCAATTATTACATACCCCCAGTTTCATCAGATTCTTCCCCAAAACCTCTGGAGTTAGTCCAGACCGCTGCTTCCAAGCAGCATTAGCCCAATCCATATTCAGGGGACAAGCGAGCAAATTCTCAGTAAAAGTCACCTGATTTACTGTGACATTCTCTTTCAATGTTTTATCACCATTAGCTGTGAGATGACCATTCTGCTGATCCCAGCCCTTTCTGAGTTTGCCCTGCTTCCCTGCCACCCGGAGTAGTAGTGTCTCCCTACTTTCCAGAAACAGAAATCATTTGAAAATGACCATGAACAATACCTCTCAAGGTTTGTCTCCCTTCACCCTTTCCTCTTAGGTGCTTTTTCCCCCACCCTTCCAGCCACCTCTGGTCCTTTATTTTGTTCTCTTAAATGCTCTAAATTTTCACACCCCATCAAGTGTGACAACTAGCACTGAGCACAGAATTCTAAAGTAATGGCAAATATGACAGTAAGATTATTTGCCAAATCCTCTAGAATAAGTTCACTACACACACACACACCCCTAGGGAAAATGGTGCCATGATATAATTACAATTACCAGGAATGTGAAGGAATTCTGGGTGTTTAGAGGAGGGAGAATGTACCAGAAGGGAAGGTATTTAGTGGAATGGTAACAGAGGGCACTAAGGCTCTTGGAGAACAAGAGTATTTCTAGGCTCCAAAACACCCAATAGTCAGGATGGAGAAAGAGTTTTCTTCTTTGCACCTCACCTTAATATAATTCCTGTTTGGAGGAATAACCATTTCTGAGACATTCCTTGCATCAAATCCAAGTTATACCTTTTCACTTGTGCAAAATACGGAACCACAGACTCTGAGAGCTGGAAGTTACGAAGTGACAGAGTTCAACCTTCTCATTTTACTGATGAGGACACAGAGGATGACTGCCAATGTTACTTAGAGACAAGGTCAGGACTACAACCTGTGCCTGCCGGCCTCAGGCCCAGGCTCCTTTTACTGGATCCCCACTATCTCCATCAAGGAGGTAATTTAAGAAATCAAGATCTAGAAAGAACAAGACAGACCCCCATAAGTGGACAGTATGAGGACATAAATGGGACAAAATGAAGCCACAGGTCTTCCTAGTTCTTTTCCTAAAAAGGACTCAAACCCATCCTGATGCCTTAATTTTACAGGTCAGCCTGTTAAATCCAAGCTCCAGAGGTAATTACATAAACGACATCACTTGTTTCGTTTCTAGAACTTCATCCTCTGGCTTGGAGGAGGAGAGGCAAGGCTTCCAGCTCAGGAAAGAAGCTTTGCCTGGGTTCCAGATAAGACTGGGCCCCACTGGGCGCCTGGGTGGCTCAGTTAAGCATCTGTCTTCGGCCCGGGTCATCATCCCGGGGTCCTGGGGTCGAGCCCCACGTTGGGCTCCCTGCTCAGCAGGAAGCCTACTTCTCCCTCTTGCGCTCCCCCCTGCTTGTGTTCCCTCTCTTGCTGTATCTCTGTCAAGTAAATAAATAAAATCTTAAAAAAAAAAAAAAAAGACTGGGCCCCACAGCTGCAGGGTGGGACCTTCTGTGGAGGGGGTGAAGTCATGCAAAGCTCCCGTCCCCCTGGAGAGGGAACCCCTGGGAAAGCTCTACCTCCTGGGCCTTTTTATCCTCCCTTTGAGAATTCCAACCGCTAGAGAAAAAGAGGCAGGAGGCCCTTCCTTTTTAGAAGGGCCAGTGGAAGCAGGCTGAGGGCCAAAGGAAAGGGGTGAAGGAAATGTCCTTTGTCATCTAGGTCATGACTGGTCAAACCACAGTGCTGCAGGTCTAGGAAGATGGGCGCTTTAAGAGGCATTCAAAGGTACAGGGTAACCCTGGCACAATTTCCAAGGACATCAATTTATTTGAAGAAAGTGGGGATTTCATTACATGATTCCAACCAACATGGCGTTATCACTACATCATTGCAGGCACTTAGAAGCCAAACTGGGAGACTTCAGCACGTATATGAGAGAGCAGGAAGAATTCTGTGCTAGTTCTTTACAGCTTGTGGCAGGCAACTCTTGGCTAGGCTCCCATATTACCTGGAGTATAGGTTCTTGTCTCTCTGTTGTTAGGGAAGCTTTGGTGGCAAATGTGGGAGGTAATGGCTCCAGCAAAAAGGATCTGGGTGGTTGGTGGGAACAACCCAGATCAGGAGGAGACAGCCAGATGGTTCCAGGCTCAAAGTCCCAGTGCACAATGAGGAACAAGTCCATCTGCCTGATCTTACCTTCCACCCTGCACCCTGGCTGGGAGTGGGGCCTAAGCTACCGGGCAGCCTGAAGGACAGGGGTTCTAGCCATCCCCCTGAAAAACACACCAACAGGCACAATCAGAAATCAGTTTGCTATCTGTGGGATTTTCAGGCAAGCTCTTACGCATTTACAGGTTAAAAATCTGAAAACATCATACTTACTGTGTTTTTCTGAGTTACCATATCCTGAAAAGAAAAAGAGAAGATGAATATAGCTTTTAAAGATAGCCATTTATTTCCATAAGCACTGCAAGACTTTGCCCCCCCATTATCCAGCACCCACGTCAGAGCACGAGTTATTCATTTCAAACCTTCTCCTTCCCCTGTGCAAAAAGCTTCAAATAGGGGGAGTCTCAGAGAATTGTAAAATTCATATTCTAGGGCAAACGTATCGTAATTGGCTAGCTTTTGGAATGATGGCGGGGCATATATGGTTATAAGGATTTCCTGTAGCAGTGGCAATGCTTTTGTCCAGACGTTCTGAGCTTCAAGTTTGGGGCTCTGAATGCCCTGCAGCTCCCCTGCCCAGGGAGGAAGGTCAGGGACTGGATGGAACTGCCCGGAAGTACCGCGATATCGCGATATCCTCGGGGCTGCAAGCACCTCTCGGCTCCATCCGGGCGACCCCGCCCCGGAAGGCTTCCTAAGCAGCGGGCGCTGCTGGGAGCATTCCCGACATGTCACGGGACCGGCCTAGGAACCATCAAACCCAATGACGACAATTTTAGTCAGCTAACTTCGCATAATGGTTATGCAGCCCTTGACCGTATCATTTATGCGCCGGAAGCCAACACTTGCTGACCAGAGGAAACATAATTAAACAGCTGTGCCGTAAAATGGGTTTTATACACTCTGAGATTTCGGCACTCTGATGACAAGCGCAGCCTCCTTCTTCTGGTGTCATATAACAGACCACCCATTTCCATTTTAGGAATTATTTTTTCCATATTCTAAGAAAGTAAAACTGTCAAAGTCATGGGACTTTCAGAGGAGTCCACTAAGGCATTGTTGAGGGAAAAAAAAAACATATTGCATTGGGAAAGAAATACTTTCTAATTTCATGTTTCTCATCAAAATAAGGCTTAATAATCTACCCTTTCACATTTTCTAATTCTAAATATTTGCAAGCACAACTACCTTAAGTGAAAATCAGTAAAAGAAAAAAATCAGTATCTAAATATCTAAAGTAATAGCCTTTTGGGAAATTATTATACAGCATAAAATACAATAATAAACCCGTTTCTTCTTTCAATGTCCTCTGAATGACTTCTTAAAACCCAGTACTGTGCCCTCATTACACAGTACACATCTACGTCAAGTGTATGTGATACAGAACGGAGAGGGGTTCCCCATCTGAAGCAGGCTGGTCTTCTACCAGGAAATAACTCCCAATTATTACAGAACCCAGAAAAATCTGGTTAATATTAAATCTCAACACACACAAAATTGTTCCCCTTTACCATCACAAAACTGTGCATTTATATACTAGCGATATTTAACACTAAGGGAGCCGGACATTTAGAACTGCTGCCCATGAAAGCTAATTTGAAGCCCCTAGTTCTCACCCGTGGCTGTACTTTTGAGAGGTTAAAAAAAAAAAAAAAAGTCCCTCAGAGACTGTGATGTAACTGGTCTGGGGTATGACCTGGGTATTGGGATATTTACAAGCTGTCCAAGTAATTCTAAAGTGCAGTCAAGGTTGAGTAACACTGCTGTAAACAAACTGAGCTTTACTCCTGAAATCATCTAAAGCAGACAGGGACTTTCTGACCAATATTAAGACATTCGACAATGTTAATATTCCCTGAGTTTTACAGTAGCTCACCTCAGACATTCACATTTTACAAATATGAGCATTTTTTACATTTTTACTTTAATTCCAGTTAGTTAACCTGCAGTGTTGTATTAGTTTCAGGTGGACACTATATGATTCGGCCCTTCCACACGGGTCTTCCTACTCCACTGCCATCTCCCCCGCTCTGTTCCAAATATGAGCATTTTGGGGAAGTACTATTATCCAAAAAACATCTGTATCAAACTTGCAAGAATAAATTTTTTGAAATATCTATCATTACTGAGTCGTGCATGAACAGACGAGTTTTCAATTTTGCTCTGCTTTGAATGGTGGGGGGGGTGGACACAACAGATTAAATACGGATGATGTCTATCTAGAACTTTCTGCCCACCTTGGTGACTGTTCTGTGTCATCTTATCATTTGAGTTGAGAAACTATTTTTTTAATATGTAGGTTTGGATCAAATTGCCCATTAAAAGATTCAGAGTCATGTGTTTGCTTCAGTGGAAGTTAACAGTTTTTGCCTTCATTTCCCTAATGAGCCTGGAAACACTGAAGTGGCCTACAAACGCCTCTCTGTAGTACGTAGGCTCACACAGCGGTCAGGAAGTCATCTGTGTGAGCGAGAAGCTGTATAGTAGGAAGGAAGGAGTTGCACAAGCGAATCTTTTTTTCCCCTCCAACCTCCTGCGCTTCATGTACATTTCCTCTGAACGTGTAATACCGTTTTCCCAAAGCCAAGTATTCACAAGAAGATGAACGATACCCTTTACCTTCAATGAAAGAGCAGTGTCCGCGTCGGTGTCATGGTACAGGATCACATTATTGGCCATGTCAAAGCTTTCTCGGACCCCCAGATGGTAAAAGAGTGAAGGCTGTCTGGAGACATCACTCATGTCCACCACGGCAACATCTGAGACGAACAAGGACAGGACACGGTGTGGGAGAGAAAGAGAGGTGATCCGTCTACTGAATCTACTTCCTGCTGATCACCAATGGGGAACTACCGCAATTTGTATTTCTACCGACAGTCTCTTAGGTAAAGCAGAAAGTAATGAGTCCTTGGCTTAAAATGACCCTAGGGAACAGTGGAAGAAAAGCAACAAGAAAAACCTCTTCCTTCCTCAAAGTGCTGGGAATATAGCCTCACTTAAAAATTGCTGATTTAGATTCACTGTTATCTTTATTAGGAAGTATGTCATCTCCAAAGAATATACTTAGCTTATATACAAATTATAAAGTATAATGAAACGTAAAACAATGCTCCTGCCATGCAGCCCAAGACACAGACCATTATCTGTATTCTCAGAGTCTCCTGTGCTTCTTCCCAGTCACATCTCCTCCCTCCTGCTCAGAGAACACCTGTCTTGATCTCTGTATTTATCGGTTCCCTGCATGTCTATGTGTATATATAAAATATATACGCACGCACATGTATACATATGCACGTGGATATTAGGTACATGCATGCACAAGATTATAGATTAGATATGCATATATTATATATGCTTGTTATATATACATGTATATACTTATATATGCATGTGTATAAACAGTATATTGTTTAGTTCTGTATGTTTTTGAACCTTATATACATAGTGCCATACCATATGTATTCTTGGACTTGCTGTTGGTTGGTGTGATACCACCAGTTTGCACGTCTAGGTCTAGTTCAGCACCGCATTCCATTATATGAGGACTGGACAGAAATTTCTTTATCCATCCTGTCTAAATGCATTTTTTTTTCTTTTTCCTATTTCAAACTGCTATGATGAACATTCTTTCTGGCTCATATGTCCACCATCAGCTTGAGAATGTAGATCAAATGCCCCTGGAGGTATGTCCTACAGAGACTTATTCCAAACAGGGGAACAACATATCACATCAACAAGGAGAGTGTTTAAATGTGCCTAGTAATACTGGATACCATTTTTGAAAGTATAAAAGCTCCAAGTTTGACTGGACCTTCCTTACCACATGCAGAGATTCTGGAAAGAACATCCAGACTTAACTCTTGCACTGCTGTGACTCATAGGAAGTCACCGAATATCCCAAAGACACAGAACAGAGGTGAGGTGAATGGGCGCAAGAAGAAACAAGGAGGTGGGCAGTAGCCCCATCAGCACCAGGGATCGCTGGCTCTGTGCAGGAGGTGTTGGGAGTCCTGAGGCCAAGCGTCAACAAGCCCCGGGCGGGTCTTTTGTTTTTGAACTTATGGATTTCCTGCTATATGCCAGGCATCGTGTGGAGTTCAACAGATAAAAGTGAGAACAAGGCCTAATCCCTTTCCTCAAAAAAGTGTGTAATACAATGAGAGCGACAGGAAGGAAATGGTGGTTAGAATCAGTCAGGAAGGCAGAAATGAGGGGGAACCATGACAGAGAACCACCAACAGGGTACTCCACCCACACTGGGGTGGAGGTCAATCAGGGAAGCCCCACAGGAAGTGATGTTGTCTGGGATCTGAAGGTCCAGAAGAGTCAGGCAAATTGGTGTGCGGGTGAGGTGACGGGAAGGGAAGAAAGAGTGTTGCATGAAGAGAAGACAACAAGCGCAAAGGGCCAAAGGTAATATGGGGTATGTTAGGGCAACTGCAAATAATTTCCGGAGAAGATGAACCTGGAAGGGCTAATAGGTGCCAGATGGTGAAGGGGTCCGAAGGCCATGTTAAGAGAGCTGCCTCTGTCTTAAGGTGATGGGAAACCTATGGTAGGGTGGTTTTTTGGTTTTTACTTTTTATCATGGAAAAATACAAATACATATAATAGAAGAGTATAATGAAACCCCCATAGACGCTTCACTTCCCTCAACAATTCTCAACTCAAAGCCCGCCTTGTTTCATCTCTACTGGCACCCACACCACCCCCTTCCACATTATTTTGAAGCAAATCCCAGACATCATTTCATTCCCAAATATTTTAGTACATACTGCTAAAAGCGGAGAAGGCAAAGGAAAAAAAAAATCACTATAGTGGACGCCTGGGTGGCTCAGTTGGTTAAGTGTCCAACTCTTGGTTTCGGCTCAGGTTGTAATCTCAGGGTCATGGGAACAAGCCCACATTAGGCTCTGTGCTCAGCAGAGAATCTGCTTGGGATTCTCTCCCTCCCGCGCCACCCTGCATGTTCTCTAAAATAAATAAATAAAATCTTAAAAAAATATAACTGTAGTATCAATGTTTCACTCAAAAGTTCTAAAAAAAAAAAAAACAAAACAAAACATGAGGGGTTTTAAACAGGAGCCTATCATACCCAAATTCACCCTTTTGAGGTTGTTGCTCAAGAAAGGACAAGTGAATATGCTGAAGAAACACTTTACAACCCAGTGTGGTTATCTCCAATGGGTAACTCCTCCCCACAGACATTTGCTTGGAGTCAAAAATCACACTGCAGCTGAATGAATCAGACATTCTACTTATAGGATCGTTCCCTGGACTCCGCCTACTCACATCAAAAAGCACGGGTTTCCTACTGATGCTATTAAGAAGCGGCAACACACGCTAACACCAAGGCCATGGCGACTGCTATAATTAGTTACCTGAGGAAAGCAAGCAATCTGAAGACAAAGCAGAGTGATGGGAACAGGCAGGGGACAGGGATGAAGGACAGAAGCCCCCAACTTATGTCGGCCATTTTTGTAGGAAACCTTCAACTTAGGGGAGCAGCTTGTCGCTGAGGAGATGACGATTTAATCCAGTGACACGAGTTCTTTCTTTCCTCTGCCTTCTCAGAGGTCTGTGTCAGGTCCTGTATTCTAGCCTCACCACCTCCACCAAAGAGCCCCTCCGTGGTTCCACCAAGGGTTGGAATAGAGACTTTTCAGTACCTAATTAACACAGAGCAGATTGATATTGCCACTCAAAATTCCAAGTAATCCATGTTCAATAGAAAAATGGTCTCATACCCAAAGCTGCCATTTTTACCTGATATTTGTCACTCAGGCCACTAGACTAAGTTTACACTGAGGATTTATACATACAATAATATTCAACCAGCTTAGTTTTACAACTCCTAAGATACTAATTTAGATTTATGAATGCTAAGTATGATTAAACACCACATTGGAATTTTTATATACGAGGCATCAAGGGTTGTTTTGTTTTTTTTTTTTCCTTCAAGAGATCATAAGTTACCTAAAAGCTTCAATCACCACAACGGTCACCTGCTTTGATATTTACAAAGCAGTTCCACAAACATCTTGGTTAAATTTCAGAACCACCCTGGTATACTGGCAGGCAAGGTACTGGCTTTACTTGGCAGATGGGGAAATGAAGCACAAAGATTCACCCAAGGTCTCACAGCCAGGGCACAACAGAATCACGGCTCCCAAGGGTCCAGGTGAGGTTTCCTACCTTCCTGAATCTCACCTTCCTGACTCACTTTCTGAAACATAGCCACCAGGGGTAAAACAGTTGATTTATCCAGCTAAATCTTAGGCAAATAGATCGCAGATAAAAAGAGGTAAAAGGCAGATTTTCATTTGCAAATGCAGCCCATGCTCGAGCAACCATTACCTTTCAGTTTCTAAGGACACAGGTCAGCTTCTGGGGAAAAGTCTGCATACAATAAACCATCCTTTTTTTTTTTTTTTTAAAGATTTTATTTATTTGAGAGAGAATGAGAGAGCGAGAGCGAGAGCACAAGAGGGGGGAGGGTCAGAGGAAGAAGCAGACTCCCCTCTAAGCAGGGAGCCCGATGTGGGACTCGATCCCGGGACTCCAGGATCATGACCTGAGCCGAAGGCAGTCACTTAACCAACTGAGCCACCCAGGTGCCCCAATAAACCTTCCTTCTTGATGGGGACATATATGCACCTTACCCATCTTGGTTTAACAACCCTTAAGAAGTGATACCACAACAGGAACTTGCAACAAGCCAAGGCTCCCCTTAAAACCTACTCTTAGCAGGAAATTGTCTGAATTTAAAAACAAAGTGCCCTTCAAACAATTTAAGAATCAATTACAATTATCCCACTACATGCTAATATGAAATCAAGATGAATGATACATAGGATTTTAGTTCATTAAAAACTTTTGAATACTTAAACATTCTTTTTGTGCAATGTTTTATAAGTAGTAAGTAAAACTGTAATTTTCTAGTGTGGTTTAAAAGCATCTGATTTCCAAAGCAAAGCATTCATCAACAAAATGATATAGTGGTAAATGATTTACCAAATAGTAATTCTGTGATTGTACTGGCTCATGCCAGTCTTTAAATATATTCCAGGCAACCTGAAATAACGAAGGTAAGATTGGTTGTATCTAAATGAACTAGATTTCAGAATAACTTTACCGCTAAAGACATCTTAAAAAATCTGATGGGACTCAGGACAACATTAGTTATCCAAAAGCTACCTAAAAACAGCAGAGCCCAGATTTACTAGCACCTTCTACTTCTACTTTAAATCCAATTTTCCAATCCCATAAGGAGGAGACAACCTACCAGTTCAGTGTCAGGAAGTCAACAAATCCTTACCAAATACAACATCGACAGGGGCTGGGTGCCAGGTGCTTGAAGTATTACGTTGCAACGGGGAAGGCAGGGGGCAGGAGAGCGGGGACATCGGGAACCTATACCTGGCCCCCTATCTTTGGCTTTCCAGGATCTTTTTTTAAGAATGACCAAAAAATAAAATGTGTATACCTTTGTAAGTGTGATTGAGATGTGTCCACTACCAGTTTTTTTCAAAGACATGTGCAAAATATAAGCAAACTATGTTCTGAGGTGAATGGACTCACTGAGCTTAATTTTAGAGCACTCACAATGAAATATTTGCCACATAAAACGTAGCATGACTTAAGTCACTTAGCTTTCACATGTTTATGTTGCTCTTTCAGCTAACGAGGAAAAGAACACCGCACGCCAGGGTGCATTCATCACTTTAAGTGCTTTCAGTATCAGCGCCAACATCCATGA